GGGGGGGGGGGGGGGGGGGGGGGGGGGGGGGGAGCAAAGGTATAGAATTTAGGAGATTTAGCAGAATAGACCTGGGCAAATCGTCATGCATAGGTTGGATAACAACAATTGTTATAAACCGAGTGCAGCAAGTAGAATTCCATTTTCAGGAAACTGAGTTATACATCTTAAAAGATAAGGTTACAGGTAATTTTTATTGCCACCACAGTATTTTATAATTGCACCACTTTTTAATTGCATTAAAAGTCATCCATCTTTGATGATATCAAACTCATGTCCGCAACAAATATAGGGAGCCATATGTTTGATTTTTAGCCATTCAATACAATTAGATAAATTGAAAATGATAATCAAGCCATACCTTGTCATTAGTACGAGTTGTTTTCGAATGAGATTTATCAACCGGCAGCCATGAAAAATCATATCCCTCCTCTACTCTTAGCTTAGAATTGGGTCTCCTATCCCTTCTCTTCACGTAGGGAACATCTTCACATCCTTGCTTGGTGACATCTACACTTGTCTTCTGGTTGATCTGATCAACATGTAATATTTTTGATGAATTTTTATTAAGATTTACTTCATTCCTCACATGGCCTTCATCCTTGCTCACAAGTAATTTGGACTGACTGGATGGACCAACTTCTCCAAGACCAGAAATAGGTGCTTGATGCTCCTCAGCATCCTGGCGGAACCACCCAAAACAGACTGTTACTGTCACGTAGATAAACCATCAAAATTGATAACTGAAATTTTACATAAATAAACATTTATGCTATGCTCTACTGTTCGAAGAAGTAGCATTAACAAAACCCATAATGATGTAGATGTCCAAACATGAGATAATATAGAAACTGCTGTTGCCACATCTGGATTCATATCTATAAATAAAATTTGAGAGTAGAATCACAATTCAGGGATTGAATAAGCATCATTAAGAACAATTTGAACAGATTTTGAAGAAGAATCTATTTAAGGAAAAGAGTGTAGTGTAAAATGATCATGTAGCCTAAATTGTAAAATCGGTACCTTCAACACCATGTACAAGTTCAAATACACATCAAAATTTAACATAAGAGTTGCTAAATTAGAAGCAAAAATGAAAACATGCAATTAAGTTATACCAAAGCAATAATAAGATACAAACATGTGAATAAAACTAGATATAAAGTTAATGTACGTATCATGAGACTAAATAAATGAAAAGAAATTATTAGTGACACCACAAGAGAAAAATTTATAAGAAAACTAGAGAAAGTTCAACTAATCAATCAACTATACTCGAATATTGTCAGGTTTGGGCTCATCTCAAAGCACCTGCCCAGTTTTGGCCCACATGGGAAAGGCCTCAATAGTATTTTTGACTCGATCTTACATTTATAGTGCACAACCTTCCCGTCCATGCACGATGTGGGATCCTACAATCCACCCCCTTGAGGTCCATCATCATCATCATCAGCACACTTTTCCCCATTATACTGAGCCTAATTCCATCTTGTAATGACCAGTCAACCTAACCCACAACAGTTTAACAACAGAGCCCGAGAATTTCAACAAAAATTTGAACAGCTGCTACTTATTCATCAGCGAGTTAGTAAACTTTGAGAAAACTAGGCACTTTTTGCAATCTTCTAGCCTTAACAAGCATGAAAACAATTTATCAGACATGAAGAGAGATTAGCATAAATATATGATCCGACAATTGGGATAGTTTAGCATGACAGACTGGAAGTTCAACAATGACATTGGTAGTTTGGAATGGTAAACCTTCACTAGAAAATTGGTTTTAGTTAGACAAGGAAATAATAATGTTCCAAAAGTAAAAAATCTGTAGAGTTTAACTCAAAGAATATGGTCAAAAAACACAATAGCTATCTGCCAGACACGGTTATAGAAAGTTTTCATTTTTTTCATTTTCTGTCCTCATATTTCCCTTGGAAGTAGGATCCCTTGATAATTGATATTATGAAAACCAATTTGTTACCTGTTAAGTAATTTTTCCTACAGAAATACAATCTTCTTCTCCACCGGATACCATGGTTATCTTTGTAGATGTCCACAAAAATCTGCCTTCCTAACAATCCCTTTTAAGCAAGAATGACTTGTAAGTTGTCCTTCATTACTTGTTCACCCCATAGTTCCATTTGATGGGCAAATATTTCAAATATTTTTGGAAATACTGTTGATTACAAACCATATCAGATTAGACACGGTCAAGGATCACTACAATCATTCCTTATTTTTGGTTTCCGTTAATTGAGATTTGTATAGCTAAGTGATAATTGCATTACAGTTTTTCCTTGTAGAGAACTTTACAATACCTTGTACTATTCTCTGCACAATTATTCAAATAGAGAATCCTACATCTCTTAAAACTTTATTTCTTTGTTATGTTAATTCTTTTCAATGTCTGCAGTCATAGAGAAAGCAGTTATAAATGATAAGTACAACAAGAGTATTTCCTTGTATCATTTCTATAATCCACAAATTTCTTGTGTCTTCTCCATTAGAGAAACTACACAATGCGGAGCAAAGCTCTGATGAAAGCTCAAGTGCGAAGAACAAATCTGGATTTGTTAATGGCAATTTTCAGACCTTCATTCTAGGATCTTAAATCTTGAGATCTGAAAACAATGTGATGATATAGTGGCTTTCTGAATCATCAATGCTATTATTCCATAGCTTGCAGGAATTGCTAGTTTGGTTGGATCTTGAGGAAAGATTATCAAATTAGAGGTCCAACGATTTTTTGAACTCCAACAAAGGGTTAGTTCCATATTTCAAGGGTCTTCATCTATAAGTACTTCTCACCCAAAGACAAATTCTCTTCCTCTCACTATCTTTCTTAAACAGGCAATGCTTGATACGAAGTGGAGAGAGGCATCGGAAAAGAAGTTAAAGCTTTAGAGGACCATTAAACTTGGGAACTCCCATCTTTACCCACAACAAGGCTATAGGTTGTGAATGGGCATTTAAAATAAAAATTTACCCATCGTCATTATTGACCATTACAAAGTTCATTTGGTAGCTAAAGTTGTGACCAACAAGAAGGACACGACAATTGGGAAACTTTTGCACCAGCAATCAATATAACCACAATGAGAATGCTACTAATCATTTCAGCAGCTAAAAAATTGGATCTTAAACAACTTAAGTCATGCTTTCTTGCATAGGGATTGAACCCAAAAAAAATGATTGCATGCAGCTCACTAAAAGTTTTTAAAAATCTAGAAATTAGAATGCAGCTTGTAAACTCAAGAAGCCTCTATACAGCTTGAAGCAAGGTTTTGGTCAATGGTTTGCAAAGCTTACTAGTTTATAAAGATAGGGTACTGTTCCATCTAAAAAGTACGACATTCTTAAGAGTAGTCCAAACCTTTATATGTTATCTATTTATGTCATCTTTAGAATTTATTTCTTACCATATCCCACAAGACGGTGGCTCATTTGAGAACACCATTTTCGAAATTCATGTGCTTGTTTGAGTCTTTAACACATCGATTGCTCATTTGAATTCAATGAGAACTTATAGCATACTAAGACTTGAAATTTATCCTAAAAAGTGAACGTTGATAAAAGGAGTATTCCAATCCCTTATATGTTAGTTATTTATTTCATATTTATAACACAGTCGATTCTTGAGTGAACAAAACAAATAGTTCAAGGGCCAATTATTCCTTTTCAATAAAATAATGGATAATTCAACTACCTTACTATTGTCTATGTTGATGATAACATTCTTGATGGAGATCCTCTTAAAGAAGTTCAATTCATGAAGGAACTTCTTCAAAATAGGTTTAAAGAATGGGACCTTGAATATGAGAAATACTTCCTCAGTATTGGAGTTGTACCCGTGGATCACTTTTCTTAAGTAATGGAGAAGAGGATCGAAACATGCCACTAAACACTACTGTGGTAAAGATTAGCTGTCAAGAACACAGAAGAGATAGGATGGACAGTTGATCAGATTTAGTATGAATCATACAGGGAGAGTAGCTAAAGTCGACAACTCTCCTAAGGTGTAGGGTCTATTTGGCATTCCTAGTGAAAAGGATCAAGTTCATGAACAATTTAATACTCTATCTCCCTTCATGCACTTAAGAAGTGGAATTTATGTCGGCCAATGATAAGTTATCCTTGAGTGACTTGAAAAGTTTGGTCTCCTTAGTGCATGTCACTTGAAAAGACTCGTATAGAATAGAATATGAAGTTGAGTCTTGGAGACTTCATGGTGCATTTGTGTTGATTGGAGATTCTTACATTACCTAAACAGAATGGTCGACCTGGTTATGGAATCCTTCTTTTTGCATATAGTTCTTTTCACTTGCTTATGCTTCAATGACTTAACAACATACCCATTCTCAAAATTCTATTCCAATTTCTATGATGGGGTGTGGCGAAGTTAGATAGGTACTTTATTTACTTGAAGACTTCGGCATTTTGTTCAGCAGTCAATCTCACATTAGACAATGGTGGCTCATTTTCTCTTATCCTATCTCAATAAAAGATTTAAAGGTCGATAAGAAGCCGGTAAGGCATTGACTTGAGTTCATGAACAAACTATACATGTAGACATATTCACATCATCTAGATTGCAAAAAGGTAGATAAAGGAATTATTTATACCGAGTTTGTTCATTCTAGTAATCAGCTAGCAAGCAGATGATTGTACTAAAGCTCTTGTTGGGGACATCTTCCATCATTTACTTTCCAGAAAAGGCATTCAAGAACTTCATGTGCCATCTAAAAGAGGCGGTGTCAGAAATATTGTTGATTCCAAAGCATAAACAGACAAAATCAAAGATCCCTACAATATCCCTTTAGTTTAATTTCCTTTAATAGAGATTTGTAGAGCTAATAAATATTTTCATTTTTTTCCCTTAAATAGGATCAAGTTTATAAAGATTGCACTGAAATAAGCAAGCATTTCAAGGAAACAGATAAATGAGCATTGATTGGTCTATATTTTGTCAAGACAGAATAAAAAACAATTATCACATTTTCCATCATCTTAGACGTCGCAAGCACAAGATGTAAAGTTTAAGATTAAAAAGTCAAAAAAAATAACAATTATACACCGTTTTGTTATTGGAGCACACATTCAATTTAACTTTAGTTGTGACTAGGAGAGAAACACCACCATATTTTCCCTCTGAGTTGCACCCTGGCAGATAGATGCAACTATATTTGCATAATCACCAAAAGAAATGCCCATGGAACTCGCTACATCTTGGAGATATGGCTTCAGTTTAGAAGCACAGTTTTCAAGAACTCTCTCCCCTAGCTTGAAGGAAAAAGGAGATAGACACTGAAACATAGAAAAAGGAAAAAGAGGGAATATGTTAATAAAGTCAGAAGGAGGTAAGATAAAAATTGAAGAACATCCAACTTTGAGTTCAATTACAAGATTCTCCTTCTTTACACTAGCTAGAAGGATATGCAGAAGATCCAATGAGATTTCGTCACTTTTGTCTATTGCCTCACTCATGATTTTCTCCATACTACAAAACACAACAGGAGGGTGGATAGACCTATAATTGACAAATAAAAGTCAGATGTAAATATTTGCAATAGAGAAAAGTTATTAAATAATCAAGCGTACTTCATGTTACTATGTAAATCACTCACAAAGGTCATGCACACATATATAATACTTTACTATAAAAGGATTCCACTTATAAAGAACTAGCCAAAGGAACTGAACTGAGCCCTCATCAGAGCTACCTAGAACATAGAAATATAAGAAGATACACCAAGTTGTGAATTCCAAATGATGAAATCTTTTTTCCATATAAAAAAGTTGGAACTCCGAAATAATATGTTATAATTACTGGAATCACACACACCTCAAGAAATGTATGAAGTTTACGAAATTTGAAAAGAGAAATTGTTGAAACAAAGAAGAGTATTATGAACAGGTCCACAGATAAAAAAAAATGATAAAACTGGGTGAACAATTACTTTATGGTATTTAAGAACTTCTGGAACAACTCCACAAGCAGTGCATCTAACTCCAGATCCCACATCACCACGCATAAATTCACATCTGCAAACACCTTAAGTATTGAAAGAGCTTTCAAATAGCCATGACCAACCACGCATGACAATTTTCCAAATGCCATCACGGCCAACTGAAAATATTTCTGCACAACAATGGATTGCAAAATAAATCAGTTATGCATCAACGATTTCATGTGATTATTCAGAAGAAAGGGCAAATGTTGATATATGTTAAGTACCTTCATGTTATCATCCTCTAAAGGCTCATTAGGGGCTGTTATTCTCATTATCTCAGTGAGGCACGATGTCACAGAAATCTTGACATCCATTTCTCCATGTCCCAGAAGTCCCACCAGTGCCTTCTTTGCAGAACGCAGCACCTTTTTCATTTCGTTTTTCTTTTTCTCTTGTCTGACTTTCGATAATAGATCCTCTAATTTCTATAAGCCCAACAAAAACCAGAGAATGCATTTATGTTACGCAGGACATAAACATTATCTAGAGAAGAAGGAAAAACAGTTAATTACACAAAGAGTAATGACCTTTTCAAGATACTGAAAAGATAAGATCGACATTCTTTTTATTGTCAAACATCTTCCTTCAGTAATGTTAAACCAAGAATTGTATAGATCAAACATAATGAAAGTGAATCAGAAGATGAAGACAATTGAAGTCAAACATCATTAACAATCAGGTTTTCATAGCATTACAGAAACCTGATTTTAGATCTAAATAATTACCACATAAGTAGATTCCAGTTCAAATATACATTCATCATAAGTCATTGCAATGAAAAGTTTTTTTGTCTTTCCTCCATTGTCCATTTATACAGTCAATTACAAATTCTTCAATGCTGCCCCTTGAATGAAACAAAATCATTGACAGAATTACGATTACATAAACCACTCCACTGCTTCTCATGCTTAAATTTTACAACAAGATTTTAACCTAATCAGGCTAGCAGTGGTCAACCCAGATTTTATACCTTTATACTCTGACTTGTCTATTATGCATCTATTTTGAGATTTAACCATAGCACTTCTTCCTGCAATGATGTTGAGGGTCATAAGGTCATTTTCGGTATTTAGTAAAGGCTACTGTTACCCCATGCCTCCCCCATTGTTCACCACTTCACCTAAGTTTGCATCAAATCGACAATACGACACAATGGAAATGATCCCCTTTTAGAATTTCTGGCCATCATCAAGACTAACCCAATTGTAGCTACTTTTCTCCATCAGTGGTTACATGGCAAAATTTATACTTTAATGTAGCCATATCCATCAAAATTTTCTTATGTTTTGAACATCAACATCATAATTCCAGTGAGGAGGCCACTTCTAAACCGACAATTATTCACAGTAAAAGAACCACTTAATGAATGAGATATTTTGGATATCACCGACCCACAAAGAGTTTAATTATCAAAAGAATCCTTTAACTTAAAATTCTAATCCTTTGCAATCAAACAACAGTGGCTGAATCATCCATAAACTGAAATCAAGCACATATGGATCTCATATAATAAAAAGACAATCCACAAAGAATTTAGTTGTCAAAAGAGTTAAATTTAGATTCTCATGCTTTGCAATTAAATAAAAATAAAATCATCCATAAATTCGAATAGAAACTCAGTTTATAAAGAAACTCATCAATCACCAAAGATTTTTCACTTTTTTGCCAACCACTCCTTGAGGCTAAATCATTAGGTACCATCAACAACATTCCATGAAGAGTTTGATTATCAAAATAATCAACAGAAAATCATCTATAAGAAGAATCAAACATTTCATTGTGTATTCATAAAAAATGAAATTCAGTGAAACAAAATCCTTATGCTGGCCAAACAGAAAGATTCTTGAAGATTGTTGCGACAGAAACATAAGGCTTACATCCAATTCTTGCAAGAGTTCTTCGTTGGTATACGCGAGCTCAAGAATAGCTTTCCCAGCCTGAATGACATGTGTGTTTAACTGCTCCTCAGCCTCCTCTGAAAGAACATAGTCAGAAGCAACATTTTCAGACATTCCTTGTTCTTGCAAACTGGAAGATGAAGCCGACATTTACTCTTTCCCTCAAAAACCCAGAAAACAAAGAGAAATACAAGAAGTAAGTGAATGACAAAATGATGCCAATGCAATAGAAAACGAGTAGAAGAAATAAATGAATGACGACATAAAGCAAAACTTGACAGCCAAGAATTTACTCAAAAAATGACAGATTAAGGCAACCAAATTACGGATTCTATGAAATATGTAATACATGCAAGATTTCCAAAACGTGGCATTGCATTTACAAAAATTTCAAATTTCAGTAAAGGAGAATCCAAGAAATTTTAATGTGCTTGGTACCTACCCTTCTGGTGTGTATCAGGAGGGATGGCTTTGGCTTTCCATTTTTTTTTATCTTTTTTTTCTTTTCCATTTTGTAGATATTTTTCTCTGCTTTTATTGAAAATTTTTTGCTTTAGATTTTCCTTTAAAATTTCTCTACCTCTGCCGTTTGGACTTTGATATTTCCGACTCTGCATATTCAAGTTCTTACTTATATCCGATTATTAGTGGGCCCATTTAGTACAAGTCATACCCGAATCTTGTAAAAGGTTATGAACATCAATTTTAGGCAAATTGGCAGCTATGGTCCCAGACATTGATTCTTCATATTTTTGTACTTGATAGATGGTCGAGTTCCAAGCACCTATTTCTTAAGTGTTTTTTTTTTTTTTTTTTTTTTGTTTTTTTTATTTTTCTTTTTGAAAAAAAGTCTCATAGGTAAACAACGCACACTTTTAACTACAGATTTTCTGGGGATCACACTGTAAAACCTATGAAATTTTTGTGGATAGTGACCTACATTTTTACCTTCGAAAAATTCATAGGAAAAGATTACCTAACCTTTTTTTTTTTAATGAATCCCAAAT